GAGAGAGAGAGAGAGAGAGGTGGGGGTGGTTTTCCCTTTTCTGATTTGAATTGCACATTCACAGGGCTATCGAAACATCATGGGGAATTGCGCAGAAAATGCCAAAGTCTTGAGGGGGGGGCTAGAGAAGACAGGCCGATTCGAGATCATCTCGAAGGAGGTGGGGGTGCCACTTGTGGCTTTTGCTTTCAAGGACAGCAAGCACAATGTGTTTGAGATATCTGAAAACCTTCGAAGATTTGGATGGATTGTGCCTGCGTACACTATGGCCCCCGATGCCCAGCACATTGCTGTCTTAAGGGTGGTAGTGAGAGAGGACTTCAGTCGAACGCTTGCCGAAAGGTTGCTTAATGATATACTGAGGGTTTTGAGAGAATTGGATGAACTTCCGCCGAAAACAGTGCAGGTGAAGGAAGCCACTGTGCAAGCTGCAGACAATAGCGCAGATGGGGTGGTGTTCAAGAAGAGTGTAAGAGAGACACAGGAAGAGATTACCAGGTATTGGAGGAGGTTTGTTCAGGGCAAGAAGATGAATGGGGTGTGCTGAAGCTAGAGAGAGATTGTGGTTTTATTGAGAGAGTTATAACTAGTCGATATTTTGTAAATAAGGAGTTGCTTGTGGTGGGTTTTGTGTGGCTTTTGCCTTTTCTTTTGTTTCATATTGTGGGGAACGTGCATTGCATCTTATTGTCTAAATGTTTAGGACTTGAGGTTTTCTTCACTCTTTTCTAATGCCACAATGTACTGTTACGTAGGATTATCATCGAGATCCGGACTACAGTAATTACACATAAGATAAAGGTCGTAACGGGTGAATCAATTTCTGTGAGTTAGAGAAGGTAACTGATGAACCAGTTTCTGAGCTAGAGAGAGAGGGGTAAAGCACGATCATGCAAGGAGAAATTTGTATAGCATGATTAAGCAGATGGGCAAGCTTTGCATGGAAGTTCTGTTCTCCGATTCTGAATGGAGGGCTTTCAATCAGAATGTGAGGTCTCAATATTATTTTATTTTAAATTTATTTTTTATAAATTATTTTGACACCAAATTTTAGATGTCCATTCCTCTATTAAACTCACATTAGCGAAAAATATAAAAAAAATATTTTTAATAAAATAAAATGATTAAAATACCCTTGAAAATTTTATGGGATATTTTGGTCATTATATTTTATCAAAAATTTATTTTTAATATTTTTTTTATAGGTGTACTCTAATGAGAAGATGACACGTACAAATTTCATATTTATACAATTTGTATTTAAAAAAAAAAAAAAAAACTTTGAGATGATGAGTGGCTCTCTTGGTCAAAATTGGACGGCTAGATGGTAAGGGGAAGATAGAACTTCAATAGGGGAATTTTGGTACCAAATCATGGATATGAAATTTGGTACGTGATATCAACTCAATGGGGATGCACATAAAAAGAAAAAGAATGTTTTTAATAATAAATTGATCAAAATATCTTTAAAATTTTTATGGGTATTTTGGTTATTTTTGGAGAAATGTTTTTAATATATTTTTGTAGGTTAAAAAAAAACAATGTAGATGTGTTATTGTGATTAGGTCTATCTCAGCCGTTTATTCAAATCGAATGGTTATATAGGGGAAAGTATATAACCAGCGTTTTAAAAAACGTCGAGTCGAACCGGATTCGCCCGGTTCGACTCGGAAATCGTGAAAGGGGACCGGATCACCTAAAAAATCGGAAATCGTTCGATTCTAGAGAGAACCGGACGATTCTGTACAGTGAATCGCCGATTCACTGTACGGAATCGGCGAGTCCGAACAGTGAATCGACGAGTCCGTACGGATTTTTATTTATTTATTTATTTATTTATTTATTTTT